TGCAGGCTGGCCAGGGTCGCAGCCAAAGAGTTCTCACCGTCCTTCCAGCACCGGGGAAACGGTGAGCACCGCACAAACGTCCACACTCATCCAGCAACCGGCCAAGCATCTTCAGCACACACAAAACAGCACTTACAGAGCAACAGGGCAGAGCAACCAGCCTTAACACACAGATTATTTGTGACCTAAATAATTTGTGTGACCCAAAACCTAATCCTAACCTTAACCTTAACCCAAAACCTAATCCTAACCTTAACCTTAACCCAAAACCTAATCCTAACACTCACTCTGGCCCTAATCCTAACCCTAACCTTAACCTCAACCCAAAACCTAATCCTAACCCTCACATATGTTTTTGACATGTTACTGAGAGTCTGTTGAGTGTTTGTTTCATCTAAACAGGACAACTCAAAATAAAATGTCACCAAAAAATTTCAGATTTTTCTGCATTTTTCACGTGATTTTTTCATGTAACATTCCATGTTTGAAGGCTTTTAAGTTGGCTTTACATTATACTTTTACTCTGGTTGCAATTTGCATTTAACAGTTTCTGTGCATTTTAAAATTTACATGAAGCAACTGAAAAATATTCCAAAGTTGCAACACATTTGATTATTCAGCTACTTAGCAATATTAACAGCGAGTATTTATCATATATTGTATCATTCTGGCTATTTAAAATCATCCACAACTGCATTTTGTTCTTTCCTTCTTTTTCTGACAGTTGAGATGGTTCTGAGTATCAAATGTGCTTCAAGTGAAGTGCAGGAGCTTCTACAGTGTGCAGTCTACATCAAACTCTGTGTAACGTTTCACGGAACTGAGACTGCATGAAAATTTCATCGTATAAAGCATCAGAGGCCACGGTTATCACTTCAGTGATATCAAAAGCATGCTGTTATTCACTCAAATTATTTCTGACTCGTAGCTCATTGAAAGTTATTGTTGTGTGCTCAGTCTTGTTCGGTTGACATTTCCATCATTTTTTTGACATTAAGCCAGACAGAACAATATCAGTGTAGATTCTGATACAGAATGCAAATCAAATGTAAATTATTATTTTTTTATATAGCCAACTATATCATAACGTAATTATATTTAAATAGTACAAGGTGATTTACGGGCAACATCAACACCATACTCAAATTCATCCCGTACTCGATTGAGCATGTCGGGTGTCGCTGCACTCACGACTCTTTCAGTGCGATTTCGGACATCATCCAGTGTTGTGGAACCAACGACGAACGCTCTGAGCTGTTGGAGCTTCACTGCCCACGAAAATCACTCTGCACAGTTATGACTGATTCACTCTTATTGAAGTGGAGAACGCAGAACGCTTTCTGCTCAGGGGTCTCATCTCCTCTCAGACTGAAGGGAGCCATCTTCCACTGACAGTCAGAAACTCTATGACCCCCTCTTTCAATTGGATTGTGATTGGTTCCTAGGTGCCTCACGGTTGTAAAAATACGGCGCTTTGAAATCAGATGAATCTCTTTGAATCTTCCTGTATAGGAATAACGGAAAAAATAACTCTAAGGTTAAATGATACGTGCTCAGCCTTTTCTTTTCCTCCACAAACAAGAAATAATACAAGAATATCACAACACTTGTGTGCATTTCAGTAAATGATTGCATGTCTGCCGCGTGTGTAAACACCTGCGTAATCTGATAAAGAAGGGAACAAATCTGATTTGTACTATCACAGTCTGCTTAGTAGTTGAATTAGCCACGATGGATGGCAACTGTGCCGTCACGACCTCGCCGCTCAAACAGATTACAGTATGTTAAACTCAATAAATAGAAACTGTGCACGAAATGTTGCAGAAACATGCCGTATTTAAGTGTGTTCTCAGTCGAGGACGTGTTATTTACTTATTTACACTTAAATAGTCAATAAACATGTCGTTTGACCAGGAGTGTTCAGACCTTTGCGTATGACTGTATGATCTCACAGTCTCACTGTATAAACACAAGTATGTGTGTGTGGGTGTTGTACATGTTCGGAGGAGGGTGGGGTGTCTCCCCCATGGTGCAGTGAGGGGGTGAGTGATGGCGGAGGCAACAGAAAGATGAGGGGAGGTCAGGACTGACCTTTCTACAGCGCCCACGCAAAGAACACACACACAAACCTGCAAACAAGTACCAACACACGCCCACATTCACACACTATCACATCACATCACATCAGTGTTTCTTAGCAAAGAGCTCACACACGCTGCGCTGGATTAGTTTATCAGGACAACACAAAGACCCACTCTCACTAAGTAATCTGAGATGGACAGAAATGGACGAAAGAACCTCCCATAGCTAAAAACGTCAGTAGCCACCACATCAAAGCCTGAATATTTGTCATTTGGCACTTTGTAGTTCTACAGTTACAGACTGTAGTCCATCTGTTTCTCTGCATACTTTGTTAGCCCCATTTTACCCTGTTCTTCAGTGGTCAAGACCCCC